GTCGTGTTAACGAAAAAGGAGAAGCGTCGCGCCGACAATCCGGAGCTTCGAACCGGATTTCGGGATTAGAATCAGATATCTCCTTCTGCCGCGTTCGTTTTATACGTGCGAGGGCGACGGAGATCTCGCCTTCGTATACCGTCATTGTCCGGCTTCGAAGAAACGCGACAATGGATAACAAAGGGACCCGGTTCGCGCTCCTCCTGCGACCACCAAATCACGATCCATTCGTCTCGCTTGGAAATATATTACGCTGGCAGACGACGAACGAACTGACAGAAGGAAGAGCGCAGCGGGTTGTTGTGCGCGGACGTGACGCGGCGGAACACAATTACCATGATCGGCCTCTATCAATTTTTGTTGCTGTTATTTCGCGCCACTTCGAGTCGAGAATGAGACGCCCCTCATGGTGTTATTTTTGTCAATCTTCTTCAACGTCAGTATTAGCGAAATATATTGTTAATAATAATAATAAAAAAAAATGAACCATAGTAATCCTAATGAAAATTAATTAAGTTTTTCTTTGATAAACAAGAAAACATGAATATGTAGGTTTTCATGAATTTTGCTTCTAAGATATAAATATGTATGGTCAAAATATGCGCTTCGGTTAATTTCAAGTGGATTTTAATTCGTATGAATAATCTAAAGTTAATTTATCAAGAAAATTGAATAAGTCTATTTTATGATTTTAGCCAAGGAAAGATTTAAACGCTACAAAGAATTTATAAAAATAAAGTTTGTATATTAAATCGTTTTGTGTAAATTTGTAAAAGAAAAATATTGGTCATAAAAAATTATTATATATCCCGTCATTGCCATATCTACTTTCAGATTGTCGACTATATGTGACCTTTAGCGAATAATGGGTTAAATTTTAAAAGAGAGGAACGTCGAGAGAATTATGATGATAAATAGGATTCTTCTACGAACGAACCTTACGCCTCGGCGCGTTGCACGACAATGGTCGAACAAAGTGAGCAGGCAAGAAGGTCGGGCCCCGAAAATCCCAATCTACTCGGCGCCAGCTACAAGGATCGCTCTAGCCGTGGAAGTATATTTCATTCGTCGAGAGGAACCAAAGGATCCGATGGCCTGACGTTGGAGCCATAAAAGAACGAAATCCTCGTCTGGCAACTAACGCGCGACGGCGTCCGTAGGCCATTCAGGCCCTTTGGGTCTTTTGGTCTTTCTCTCCATTTCTTTGTCCCTCTCTCTTCTTTATGCATGATGTACATTTCAGTCCTGTACGTAGCACAGAATACGCCCCTGAGACTTTTTGTAGAAACCTAAAAATAAATTTGTATGTATATAATATATTGAACACATTTATAATTCTTGTAAAATATCATTAAAAATGTGTTCATAAATTTATATATATCTATATAATCAAAAATTTAAACTTTGTTAGAAATAAAACGTTAACCCTGTTGTATGTATGTAAATTGTCAGTTCAAAATAATATTGCGTTGATAAAAAATTAAATAATATGTAATCTTTTCATTGGCGTTACGTCATACAGGATGTTCAGCTGACTCACGTGAATGATTATCCAAATCCTCAATGATTTAATCGAGGAGCTAATATATTTCTTTTTGTTTTCAGGAGTATATTGTACTCTCCTTCTCATAAGTGACGGCTTGTAACCAACGACCAACAGTCAAGATTAGTCGGTGGAAGGTTACATTGGATAATCGATCGTAATTGTGTCTACTTAGCGAGGGGTCCTCGAAGCTGTTCGAGTCTCGACTAGCGGGTATGTATCTGTTACCGGACATCAAAATCGAAATACAAATCTCAAAGCAACTGATCGAAGTAAACGTTAGATGTTGCGCTTTTCGTTTGCTATTATTAGCCATCGAGTAATCTTAGTATTTGATCGCGTAATGTAATAAAAAATATCGAGATAACCGGCAGAGTGGGTATATATTTCTTGTTAATTTTCTTCAAGGATTTCGCAGAAGGTTCTCTTCTTCTTCTTCTCTTTCTCTCTGGCTGTTTCTCTCTCTCGATCCTGGATCTTAATCGACCGTCGTTACCTTCATCATTGCAGTTTGGCGCCAAGATAATTAATCGTCCTGTCGACTACTGCTTCGAGTGGTCAGCGAAGGATGCTGCGCGCCTACAGCGGTTTATCACGAAAAAAAATAAGGAACATAGGAGAGGAAAGAGAGGAGTAGGTCTCCTTCCAAGAGATGAGCATTCGAATGAATTCGCTCTATGGCGCGCTGTAAGAGACTACCTGCTATGATAACAAACAGTTTACTTCCTCGTAGGACTCGTGCCTACGCAGAAGCGGGATACGGATATCTTTAAAAGCGGTCTTTTTATCGCTAAGAGTCAGGTGTGAATTGAAGCCACTGCTAGTTTTCGATCAAAGAGAATGTACCGCCGAGTCAAACCGCGTCCGAAGAAAAGACAGTGGTCAGCGAAGAGATTAATCGATATCTTGTATCGATTAATCGGTTTCGAATGAATTTTAATTATCTATTATGTAAACAGACAAGAAGGATATTCACTTATAGTAATTTCGAGAACTTTGAATTTTGATTCTTTAATATTATGACTGAAAATTTGCTCCCAGAGAATTTTTATTATCATAGTTATGATATAAAAAGCCGAATTCTCGATTTTTTTAGTGATATTTTCTAATCGTTGCAAAACGCTCGCATCCGAGCATTACCAGGCTAGTTGGATGACATCGCCGACTCATGAGAGCCACGATTTACATTCGATTTTAATCAGGAGTGATGTAATCGAGCGCTTAAGCTAATGAACGAAGATTTGGCGGATTTGGTGCGCCATTGAATACGCTAATTCTACGTAATGCCTATATTTAATTCGGTGATTGAATAGGACGTTTGAAGGAAATTTTCAGTTATTATAATTATTTGTTTTCGAAATTAAATATATTTGATAAAAATAACAATACCATGCTTTCTTAAGATAATTTTAGTGACTGAACCTTTCATTTTCGATCCCCATTTTCTTATTAAAGTGAAATAAATAAATAATAATAATATATTCGCCCAAAGAGATATTGAAATATCAATATCATATAAAAATAATAATATTAATTTTCTCAAGATGTTATTCAGATAATTTGACGACAATCGGAAATAGAAAGCGTAGGTGTCTTTCATACTGAGTACAGTCCTGAAGCTTTCTGGCCGTTTCGTCCTTATAGAGGCGCACACATGAAGGTGGCAGGCAATATGTGGGGGCCCCGGTATAACAAAGATTCATCGGGACCGGTTTCATATGCCGGCCTTTTTTACGTTCCCTGCAGAGACCCCGCCGAGCCATGGGTGTGAAAACCGACACCCACCCACTTGTTATTTTGTCAAACAAGAGCCTTGAAAATTATAGGAATCATATGCTGAAGCACGTTTCCTATAACAATCTTATAGCACAAATTGTTCCCGACCGCACTATGTTTTGCGTAATATGCGTAATATAGTATATATGTATAATCATAACATTATAAAATTAATATAATATATAATTAATATAATATATAGTCACATACAAATATAATAAAATTAGTATAATCGTGATTTCATTTTTGATGAATATTTTGATACATATATGTATAGTGTATACATCAGATATTAATATTACTAAAACTCCCTAAAAAGAGAGGAGATATTGCATAATATATATTATAATATGTTTAAAATATTTTCTTATCTTTTATACATATATATATATATATGATTGTAACAATTTTATTTTATCCGCAAATTTTGCATGTATTATATTTCAAGTAGCACAGAGAGAGAATTTTCCCGCGAATAATAATGATAATTCGACATAATGGGATGCAAAGCGCAGTCGATCTAATAATAATGTCGCGAAATGATAGGGATGCGTATTACGACACCTACCCACTTGTCGTTTCGCTAAACACGAATCCAGAAAATTATAGGAATCATGTGACGACGCATCTCCTCTCCGAGAGCCGGCTCGCGCGACTCGCGCCAAATTATTCTCGATTGCACGCTCGCGCTACGTTTTATAACCGTCAATTAAACATGACACCGGACAATTGTTGTTTGTGACCGATATCTCGCCCTAATTCCGTGTAGAGGCGCAAAGTTTAACGGCCGCCTCCCCCTGTGACGCACATTGTTATTTATCGTATGTGTGCAATTTCAATCAAATCTTCTCGTCTGTTATTACTATCGATTAATTAAAAAAGTCAATCCTATATAATCAAAAAACATTCCATTCTTTTTCGAGACTGAACGATTACGTAAAACGTTATTTAAAATTTATACCGGAAAACGTATTAATTTTCTTCCTCTTATAAACGCATTTTCCATCTTCGTGAAAAAGTGATTCAACTTGATAGCCGCGATTCGTTTCATAGCGATCAAAGGAATCGAAAAATGCAATGCGCGTGAGTAGATAGGTATTCCAATCTCATGTATTACTCGCAGCTGCGGTGGTTGTAACGATTCCGAGGCAATTGAACCGAGACGAAATGCTATGCCGACCACGGCGGCTAACCGCAGTCATTATTTTCGATATAGGCTCGAAGGACTCGAGAAGGGTGGATGCTGTCAGTAAGAAAGATTCTGTGGAAAATCATGGTTGGTGTGCGCGCGAACCCCATGAGATCTCATCCCATGAAATTGGATTAGCTTCATGGCGTCTGACTTTTCGTTGTTTTTACATGACCGTCCTCGTATTCTCCGTATTCTTTTTCGTCCTTCTCGTCGCGGCAATTTTTAACTCGGAAAGGAAACACCGAGGTAATCACGTTCCAGAGTCGATCGAAACGAGATCGCAGAGATCGCTCGATGATTGCAAAAACTATACGATTTCGGCCCTTTTTAAGATAACGTTCGAAGCGTTAAGCATTTCTCGTTTTTGTACCTTTTTTATTTCCGTGGATCATTTCCATAAACGTTTGTTAAAATTAATTAAATTTATGCACTTTCTCTCCACTTTCTCTATGTTTCGTTCTATTTGAATATACAAGGTGTTCCACTTCTATCGCGTCATATATTTATGATAGATTTTTTAAAATCAATTTGGAATCGATTCTTTTCAATGAAAACGTTCAAACAAGCATCATTTACATCGATTTTCTGCAATTACACATCTCTATATTAAAACATGAAAATATTCTGTTAAAATTAACTGCAGAATTATAATGAGATTTAATTAGTGCGCAAAGAAGTTATCATTATAATATGAAAGAGTGAGATATGCGAAATATAAGCATTCGAAAGTACATAATAAGTAAATAATAATCATATGTTCGCTTTATAATTTACAGCAGTTTTTTTCTACCTGCAAACGGGTTAATGCCAAGCAAAAATCTAGTGGGTTCTTAGCCATAACATTTTTCAAGAATAGCGGTTGCTGTAAACGATAGGCATGGCGTAGCACGAGGAACGCAGGTATTTAATGCCAAGTCTCACTGGGCTGTCCGCATTCTCAGGTGACAAGCCCCTATATAGCTCTCACCGCACGCGCGCGCTCTCCGGCGCGACGTTTCTGCGCCACCGTGGAAACGATAGTGTGGTCCCAGTACGTATATGTCCATGTATAGTAGATATCGAGGTGTATTCAACAAATAAGGCACTTGTTAGACGCTCCGAGGCTAGCGACTCGCAATGAACATCCATATGGGACGAGTTTTGCACGCAGCCCTTTTTTGGCAGCGCAATACTTGTCTCCGGATGATAAGGCTACACCAAAGCCATCGACGTTTTTGCAAATATATTGTCATATTCGACGAGCATACTCGAATATTCCATATACCAAATATATCTGAAACCATGAATGCAATTTTAATGTCCATCCTTTTCAAATTTGTGAGGCAATCGAAAATTTTCAACATTTAATATTTTGACAATTAAATATTAAATAATATTATAAAATATATAAATATTAAATAATATTATAAAATATAATAATATAATATTAAAATATAAATATCGATAAACGGTTGATATAAATATATATGTATATATATCTATCAACCTTTTATTTATTAGCTAAAAACTGTTCGTACTCTGATATTTTAAATTTTAAATAAAGCATTAATTTCACATTCAGATTACATGAAGTTGTGAAGTATGCCCTTTTTCTTTAACTCGGTGATCAATAATTTTACAAGGAATAAAATGGCATTGACACGTGCGCCTGTCGAATGCAGCCACATATGCACACATTTGGGATATGCTTGTTTTGTATCCATGTGTAATTATTTCTATTTCTGCGTGTATTCGCATGTATTACGTTAAACTTTATCGCTTAGTAATTTTTTCTAAGATAATGATGCTTAATTAAATTAGAATTGTAAAAATATTTTATATTGAATTAAGAAAATAAAAAAATGCATATATTCATATACACAATTTTAAAAAATATGATAGTATCTTGAAAGGTACGTTTAATTCGATATAAACGATAACGACGGCATTTAGCAAAGATATTCTACAATTACAAAATAGTAATTAAATACCTCAAATTCAATCAAACTTGAGCACAAATGAATATATATTACATATAGAAAATTATGTTTTCTCTCTGCTACATGCACCTGATATTTCATTATATATGTAAAAAAATGCATGCGCGCATACATCTGCAACTAAACTTCTTTTTATACTTATATGATTTTTAATTATTATAAAAAAGATTTTACTATGTGAATGTATAGTTCACAAATGTGATGTTTCGGTACAATAAATGGGTCCTATTATGCATAATAATATAAACAGTAATTTAAATTTTTTTGGATTTATTATTTATTGTATTTAATTAATAAAAAGCGCGAAATTTCACTTCTCTGCTTTCTTCGTCTTTGCTGAAGCCTGTTGTGCTTTCATAACCTTATAGACAATCTTTTGTTCTTCAATCAAGAATGCACGTACAATCCTGAAAATTACATCTTATTGTTAGTAAGCTCTAAAGAGCATAAAATTTAATATAAAAGTATAAAATTAATTTGTTTTGTAATTAATAAATGATAAATTCCCTTTAGAAACATTAAATTGATATTTTTAGGCACAGATTATTCAAAGTTTAATTATTTTTATTAAACGTAACCTGCATACCTTTCTTTTACACATTTGTGACAAAGAACACCTCCGTACACACGTTTGACAGTCTTCTTACGTCTGCACATACGCGAACGTTCCATTGGCCTAGCGGGTTGAATACCCCTGAGTTTATCCTTACATTGTCCACATCTCGGGATCTTCTTAGGTTTCTTAAGATATTGGTAGACTAACTTGCCACCTGGCGTACGTACACTATTCAACATTTCATAAATCAATTAATCTCAAAGTATTAATATCCAAATAGATCTCGTACAAGAAATTTACTCAATGTGAGTTTTAGATAATTTTAAGAGTGTAGGCTGACTATTCATCATAATGATGATCAAAAAAATATGCATTATTGATAAAAATAACTCTATTCATGTTTAATGATTATTTTCACTTGTACGTGAAACTTGTGCAACTTGATGCAAGACCAAAATATAACCTCAAAACTCTCAACAACGTTTCGCGATTAACACAAATCACTAAAGTAAGATTTCATTGCGGATGAAAACTAATGAGAAAAAATATCTTGTCTAAAATTAATATTATTTGTAATAGCATACTTACACACGCCTCCTGTTGCTTTTTGTGTTGTACGACAAACGTCGTCGATAGGTTAGTCGCTGTACCATCTTGCTTCTGCAAGGTAAAAGTTATTTGTTAATGAAAGAAATAGATCTATAACCCATCGCGACGCCTCATAACTTATCGCAGATTTTCATCGAGATTATATTATATTAATGCATTTTACGATTGACACGTACAACGTGGATTTTAGAAAATCTTAGAAAAATGTCACGAACCTTCTTCGGAGCCAAACGGAAAAGGAAACGATAGCACGCCAAAAAGAAATGTTTCCACGCACGCGTACTCAAGATCGGTGGTGTTTTTTACCAGTCATAGGTAATCAAATGAGAGGTTCGAATCTCTGCTAAGCAGAGAATCTCAACTAAGAAAGGTTTGAATCTCGACTAAGTCGTGTTCGAATTTCCGCTGATAAAGATGCCTCGAATCTTATATGTGGTTCACAAAGTTCAAATCGTGTGTGTGCATACTTTCTAACGTATATACATTACTTTTTAACATAAAATGTACTAGTACATATGTATAAGAAATAAATTACCAATTGGCTAGTACAACGACAGTACAAAACTATTTACAATAATATATCATATGATTAATATGACGACACTATTATTTTTTATGAAACGATTATTTTAACGACATTCTATATATCAACTATTTTAAAATACACAAGTAAATTCCAAACACAATAAACGAGTAAAAAAGAATTAATGAAAAAAATATAAAGAATTAACAACACAAAATTACTTTTGATGAAAACTACTTTTAAGTCGATTTTAATTTTAATTATTACAAAACTATATTATAAAAAACGACATCCGACGATTGGAAAGAGATAAAATCTGAACTAGTGAAGCCATTTCAGTTATAAAGGATAAACTTCATTATTGCTTCAACAAATATTGAATAATATAAGTTCATTAATAAATGTTGATCATTCCATTATAGATCTCAAAATTATATGTACAGATGAGACTTTAATATTGAATTCTAGTTTAAAAGATTTTTTGTGCTTTGTAATGGATTACTTATATATTATGTGCAATAATATACACATATGAAAGAGAGATACACATATATAGTACATATAATAATATATAAAAACAACATGCTCTTTATAAAAGTGTGATATGTTAAAGCACTGGGTCTGTTCTTTATAGCTGAACTGGCTGCACTAGTTCAGAGTTTATCTTTTTCTCTCCCCATTGGAAGGAGAAAGATAAGCTCTGAATTAGTGCAGCCAGTTCAGTTATAAAGAACAGACCTACTGTCTTCCCTGATTTATTCAATAACTGAAAATCAATATATAAATGTCATTTCAATATTCTAATACATCAACAATACAAAGTTATTATAATTTCAACTATTAGTGACAGTTAATGAATTAACGTTCCACTATATAACAAGATTCTATTAGCGGAGACTATAATATATTAAAGTCCCGTTCGAAAAATTCTCGTGCTTTGTAATGGATTTCTTCTTGGTATTTGACATACACTAGATCTATGTGTGCTTTGCTAATTAATATTCATTTATTACTGTTGCCTGTTGAAATCAATATAAACATATATAATATTAATAGACAGCAAGACATTAAGACCTTCTTCTTTGTAAAGGAATCATACTTATATATGCAATTGTCATCATCATGATTTTGTTTTTCCTTAAATTCAATTTAGTCTCTTCTTTATTTAAATTCAATAAGTAAAAACATACAAAACTTAAACATATTTTTTCATAATGTAGTTACAAAATTATCTCAATAGTATTCACTCCATAGACAAATTTATTATTTCCAATGTACAAATTTCACTATAAATAAAAAAGATCAAATATAAGCAATATACAAATGTCATTTCAATCTTCTAATACTATCATCAATACAAAGTTCTTATTATTTCAATTATCAATATAAATGAGTGTTGATCATTCCACTACAGGTCACAAGATTCTATTTGCGGTGACCATAATACTGAACTGTCGCTTAAAAGATTCTCATGCTTTGTAATGGATTCCTTTTTAACATTCGGTGCACGCTGGATCTGTGTGTGGTTTGCAAATTAATATCCATTATTGTTACCTGCTAAAATCAAAATAAATGATAAGATATGATATTAATACATACGAATTTAAACATTTTCTTTTGTATAATAATCTTACCTCTATAATTCTTATTACCAAAATTCAATCTTTTTTCAATTTAATAGAAAACACACAATATTTATATTATTATTTCATAATGTAGTTGCACAATCCTGGTATCGCTGATGTACTTCATTATTGCTTTAACAGATATTGCAAGTTGATGAATAAGCGTTGATCATTCCATTATTTGCACAAATTTTATTAATCAAGTAAAATTACGTTCAAAAATATAAGAAGTATAGAAATTTCATAAAAGTTTTTATATATTCAATAAATGCACTCCGTTAGACACTATTTCCGCTTCGAACCGTTTAGTAGACAAATGAGGGCAAAGAATTTTGTTCTTCGAGCGAAAAAAGCTTTAAGCGAAATGTATTTATTGTTATGTTTATTTTCAAAAGACTTTGTAGTATTAATTATCTTATTGTTTTAATTATACTGCTTATGCTTATATACATTTTGTTTTAAGAATAAGAAAAAATATCTTCTATACGTTAAATTTAAAAATTAGAAAAAAATTATTAAGAGAATTAATCGAAGAAAATTTATTTCATTTCACATGCGTATATATACATAAAAATATTTTTAAACTGGTAAAATATAAAAGTTTTATTTTCTATGAACTATTATGACCAGAAGAATCGTTAATAAAATTATCGATTGTTTTTTAATTGTAGAAAAAAGATCTACTGGTGCATTTTGCGTAGATCTCCCCAAAAAATATTCGAGAAAAGGTAGACGAAGCTTCGATGTAAATTAACGATTAAATCACAAGATAAACCGCGATTTAAAATTTGAGAAAAAAACTCGACGAATAAATAAATCGACGATAGCCGAGATCAGTCGCAATAATACTCGATTTCAATGTACATGTAATTTTTGGAACAATCAGAGGAATGATATAATTACTATATACGAAAATATTTCGACAGACATTTGAAACGTTTTTTATAATCGCGTCTGTATGCATTTGTGAATATATAACCTAATGCCCGATTTATTTTCAAATACGTGATTTTATGCAAATTTTGCGATTGAGAATAAGAATATATGTACCGTTTCGCGGAGAATTGACTAAACAGGATAAAATCTTATAAATCTTGAGATATCATTATAAAAACATTACGTTATCGCCGCGTTCAATGGAGGATAACTGGCCCAACAATTTGACCAGATCAAGATCCCTCCGCCAGATAACACGCCGGTTAATATCCGACAAAGACAAGAACAATCTTAAGGGTGGAGAACGATCAACTTCTTGCTTCTACATCGGACCCCGTAAAATCAATCCGCAAAGAAAAGTTAAGTGATCCATTAAATATCAGGAGCCCCGCTGTAGGAGGGAACGAATCCCGGATCTTCCAGACTGCTCCATTCGCTGATAGCACAAGAACAATCTTAAAGGTGGAGAACGATCAACTTCTTGTTTCTACATCGGACTCCGTAAGATCAATCCGCAAAGAAAAGTTAAGTGATCCATTGAATATCAGGAACCCCGCTGTAGGAGGGAACGAATCCCGGATCTTCCAGACTGCTCCATTCGCTGATAGCAATGATTTCGGTAACGAATCAATGACAGTTACCATTGTCATTATCTTTAATTCACGAGCTTGAAATTCGTGCGAGAAAATGTGTTCTTCCATTATTAAGAAATATTATATATCTCTTTATTGAAAATTAAATGGATATAACAATTTTTATGAAAATGTGATTACGAACGACTATATTTATAATAAAATACATGCATCGCGTTATTGTAGCTAGTGTAAAATGTGCGAGTACAAATAATTCTCGGGTACCAACTGCTCGAGACGAATCGAAC